AGGAAATAGAGCACAAGAAATTCAGGATGGATTCAGGGTTTGGGAGTTATGATGATGTTCCAGAAGAAGATGACTTCACTATATTTGGAATAAAAGTGTAGATTGTTGTACCGTACTTTAAAAAATAACACATCCCCTGAAAATAAGCCCTTTGGGTGTCTTCTTGAGGAAAAATAAATATAAGACCATGTCTTATTTTCAGGGAAACACCGTATATACCACATTTTATAATCCACTCATGTATTGATGTGCACTTGGGTTGTTTCCACATCTTTGCAATTGTGAATTACGCTGGCTATAAATATTCTAGTGCAGATTTCTTTTTATAAGATGTTTTTTTTCCATTGAGTAGATGGCCCATAATGGGACTGCTGGATTAAATGGCTAGTTCTACTTGTAGTCCTTTGTAGAGTATCCCTCTATATTTTCCACAGAGGTTGTACTAGTTTGCAGTCACACAGTAGTGTGAGTTTTCCTGTCTCTCCACTCCATGCTCAACATTGATTTTGGGGGGACTTTTTGATAAAAGGCCATTCTCGACTGGAGTTAAGTGATATCTCATTGTGGTTTTATTGCATTTCCCTGATGATTAGAGATGTTGACATTTTCATGTTCTTGCCATTATTCTGTCTTCTTTTGAAAAGTTCTGTTGATGTCCTTTGCCCACTTTTAATGGGGGTTTTCTCTTGCTGATTTTCTGAGTTCTATATAGATTCTAGTTATCAGCTCTTTATGGATGTGTAGCATACTGAGGTATTCTCCATTCATAGGTTGTCTGTTTACATTTGTGATAGTTTCCTTGGCTGTGCAGAGCTTTTTAATTTATCAGGGTCCCATTTGTTATTTTGTTGTTGCTGGTGATGCTCTTGGGTCTTCTTCATAAATTCTTTGCCTATGCCAATATCTGTAAGAGCTTTTCAACCATTTTCTTCTAGAATTCTTATAGTTTCATGCCTTAGGTTTAAGTCTGTTCACTTTTGTGAGAGGTGAAAGGTGTGGATCCTGTTTCAGTCTTCTACATCACATATTACAAGCTTTTGAAAGAAAGAAGTACTAGAACTCCTACACTTGTTCCAATTGTTCTCCATTATTTTATAGACATAGAGATGGGTGGTTGATGTCTAAATGGCCTTCCCTTTGACTGTTCAAGATTCTTGAGTACTCATATTAAGACAAAAGTACAAAAATATTTGTTATGAAATAGCAGAACAAAAGAAACCATTCTTGGTTGTGCCTCAAGCTCACTTGTCACTTCTATTAGTCCTCCATGCAACCAACAAACATTTACTGAAAGTTCTCTGTATGCAGACATGTGCTAGCTGCTGAAGATACAATGGTAAGAGGAAAAAGAAGAAAAACATGATGATATTCACAAGGATTTAGATATTATAATAATTGAATAATTTTTTATAAAACATTAAATATAAATAATAACCGTGATTAGTTGCTGTGAATGAAATGAACAGGTGAGCTTGTGGGGAGATGCGAACAAGACATGAATAACAACGTTCCCTTTACTTACTCTGAATATATTTATATGCCTTCCTTGAAAGAAGTTCGTTGGAAAATTTAATTTTCTGAACAAGGTAAAGGAGACTTTATTATTTTTTATAAAACAAATAGATCTTTCACTTCACTGAATTACTTTACCAAAGCATTCTTCAATAGGGTTTCTCTAGTATACTACAATTACCATATAATTTGTAAAGACTCAGGGAGATAAAACTTTCCAGGAGCACAGTTCTCATGCAAAGTGGACTCAGAAGTAGATGCAGGCTACTGCAGACTCTAACAGCCAATTGTGAGAGTAGCTAGAGAGTTAGGGGTAGGCTTGGGAGGTGACACCCAAATGTATATTGGGTTAGGAACATCATTTCTCAAATGAAAAATCAGTGACACAAGGACAAGGTATTGTTTATAATGGGTAGATGAATTTACTGGATATTATAAAGGCATAAAAAATGAACTCCATCTACAAATGTGGACACATACAACAACGTAGCAAGTATTTTCAGTAGATCAAAAGTTTGAGAACAAGTGCCAGATGGAGACTACTATGAGGAGAAAGAAAGAAAATAAGACAAATCAAAATCAAGGAAGTGAATGCTCCGGAAGAAAACCAAATTTCATCTTTCAACAAATATTTGTTAGCGCCTACTGTATGCCAGACAGTTTATCTGCTTAGGATGTATCATTGAATGAAACACAGTATGTCCACCCTTGTGAAGTTTATTATAGCAAGGAAACAAATGACCAATGATGATAACTTAAGTCAGTAGGTCTACAGACATGTTTAGAAGGTGGTAACTATGAGAAAAACCGCAGAGTCAGGGCAAGAGGAGCAGGTCTACAGGGCCGCCCCAAGCGGATGGGCAGGCTGCACATTCAGGAGAGTGATCACGGTTGCCTCAATGGGAAGTGAATGCAGTAAAGACTTGAAGCAGGGAGGAGGTGAGTCAATGTCTGGGGAAGACCTTCAGATAGAGAGAACAGGTAGAGGTGAGAGCCTGAGGCAGGAGTGGGCTTTACCTGGCCCAGAAAACAGCAAAGAGCCTGGAGCATTAGGGCAGAGTGAACAAGAAGAAATGAGGTAAGACAGAAGGTCAGAGTATGAGCATGAAGGTCCTACCAGGGAATGAAGGTCATACCAGGCCATGAAGGCCTGGTAGGCCATTGTAGGTCTCTGGCTTTTACTCTGGGTGAAACTGACAGTCATTGTGCTGAGCGAGAGTGACAAGATTAGACTATTGTTTCCAAAGGGTCACTGTGGTCACTGGTGGCAGCTGTACTAACAATGGATTGCAGGGAGAAAAGACTTATTTACAGACTTATTTACAGAGCAAATAGAAAATAAGAAAAGACTTATTACAGAGTGTTCTGCCA